ATTTTATTAATCGATATTTTCTCTCCTTTTTTTTTTTTTTAAATAAAACTATGTACATGTATAAGATTTTAATTTTAATTAAAATTTTCCATCTACATACATACATATATATTAATAAAATTATTTATTATAGTAAAAATTTACTATCTACTTAAAATCATTTAATAATTTTTAAATAAATTAATATAATCTATTTATGGCCCTTTAATTAATTTTTATTTAAATAAATTTTTTTTTTTTTGGTAAATTAATGAATTGTAATTCTTCTGCTAATAATTTATGTTATTATTATTATTATTATTATAAACATTAACAGTTGTAAAAAATTAATAATTTTATGTGTTGGTTTGTTGGCTGGTTGTCTGTCTGGTTGTTGTTGCTTCCCCTGGGAAGATTTTACAACAACTAAAGAAAAAATTTAGTTGAAAATTTTACCAATAGATAAAGCAAGCTTCTTTTTTTATTAAATAAAAAATCATTTATTATTAATTTTTTTTTTTTATTAAATTTATGTACATAATTTTTACAAAAAAGGAAAATTTATTTAGTGAAAATTTTCCTTTTTATGAAAATAACAAAAAAAAAAAAATCTTGTGTTGGAAAAAAGAAAAAAAAAAAAATTTGCATTATTTTCTATGCAGATGTAATTTTAGTATAATTTGTTTATATAATAATAATAATAATAATAATAATAATAATATTAATTATAATTATTATTCATCACTTTATACGATGTGTCATGTTATTCAAATAATAATAATTATAATAATGATTTTGTGCCAAAAAAGTAAGAAAAAAAAAAAAAAATTGGAAAAGTAATTGCTTGTTGCCAGCAGCCACTTGTTGAACCCTCCCCCCCCCAAAAAAAAAAAAAAATTATTTTTAGTTGTTGTTTAATATAGGGAGTTAAACATACATATATTTTTTTTTTTACAAAAAAAATTAATTAAATTTTTTTTTTTTTTAAATCAAAAATAATAATTTCTCTTCGAAATATTATTATATCGTACCAACCACAACCACAACAACAACAACAATAACAGAAAAAACCCGCCATGTTTGCGTGTTTTCAAATTCTTATTACTCTATGCCACCGCCTTCTCTTAATAAATAAACAAAAATTATTATTAAGTGTTGTGTTGTGAGTACGTACACATGTACACGTTTTTCTTTTTTTTTTTTTAATTTATTAAATAAAATAAAATAAAATTATTCGGAAAAATATATTTTTGTTTGTTTTGAGACAATTTGGCGCCCCATTGCGAGTGGCGCCCGGGGCATAATAAAATCCCCTTCGTGTCACCCTTTTCCCCCTACCCTCCCCCCTCTTTAGGAAAATTTCTTTAAATAATTTTTTTTTTTGTTTCAAAACTCGAAATTTTTTTTTCGAATAAATGTGGAAACCCCCCACCGCCAGAAAAACTCATTATTATCATCATCATTAATCGAATAATTAAGTTCTTAACGTTTTTTTTTTTTTTCAAAAGCTTTATATTTTTTTTTGGGGGGTGGGGGGTCACCACCTGCAAAGAATTAACCAACAATAGTTGGATGCGTATGACTGAGAAGGAATAGAAAAGCTAATAATAATTTTCAATGAGAAAACATTTTCGTTCGTTTTTATATATCGAACGGGTCGTGAGTGAGTCTCGTCGAACACGCACCAGGATTTTTTTTTTTTTTTTTTTTTTCTTTATTCGAACGGTTTCAGTTGTGACGGAGTCGCGAGTCAGTTAGAAAGTCTCACGTTCGAAACGTTTTTTCCTTTTTTTTTTTTTTTTCTCACTTTTTTTATTTATTTAAATTTTATTTTAAATCGTTATTTTTCGATCGTCGTGTTTTTTTTTTTATTAAATATTATTTTCAAGTCGTTTATTAATTATCATCATTATTATTATTAATTAAAATAACGGTCATTCCTTTTTTAATGACGATATGATTTGTTTACGTGATATAAGAAAAATTATCAATACGATTTAAATATTTTATTTCGTATTTACAATTTTTAAATAATAATAATATTATTATTATTATTATTATTATTATTATTATCATTTTGTTAGAAATTTACGTTGTTTTGGATCACGTCTATGTAAGTTATATTTAAATATATTTTTTTTTTTTTTATTTTAAAAAGTTACGTAATAACTCTTCATGATATTTACATTCCGTTGCTTCACGACAATATATATATATAATACAACAAAAACGTTATAATAAAACAAACAAACAAACAAACAAACAAACAAACAAACAACAATCAAAAGTTTTTCCTTTTCCTTTTTTTTTGAAGTGCAATGGAACAAAAGAAAAAAAAAAATTTTTTTTTTCCCCTAACGCGAACGTAAGTTTTTCTTATTTTATAACCCGGGGGGGGGGGAAAGTATAAGAAAGTGCGTGTGTGTGCGTGTATGTGCGTGTGTTTGCACGCATAAATCCACGTAAAAAAGGTAGGGAAAAAATTTTTTCTGCAAAAAATTCTACTATGAATCAATTAAGAAAATTTTAATAAATTTTTTTTTTTTTTCTGTGTGCGTGTGCATGTATGCGTGTTTTTCTTTTTTATACGAAACGTTAAATGAAAAAGAAAGAAAGAAAGAAAAGTGGGGAGAGAAAGTGAGTGAGAGAGAGAGAGAGGGGGGGGAAGAGAAAAGAGAAAGGTGAAAAATATATATATACACACCTGTTTGGCGAAGGGCTAAAATTTACGGGAAGGCAACAAAACCCACGCCATCATCAAGCCACGAAATAACCTTAAAATAAAAATTTATTTATTTTTTTAAATGCCATTTTGAATGTAGTTACAAAAAAAAACTAATTTTATTTTTAATTATTATTATTATTATTATCACGTATGATTTTCAAGAGAAGAAAAAAATAATGATAATAATAATGATCGAATCGATTAATTAATTTTTTTTTTATCGTTTTTAGAATTTATTTTCACTCTA